ACGAGGAGGAAGGTGGTGGATGTCACGAGGGGTGGCGCGAGGATGGCACAAGAAGCGAGAGGGGGCTTCTTGGAGGGCAGGGCCCTCCTCATTGCACGGCCCCAGGGGCTTCGAGAAGCGCCTCCGCGGAAGCCGCGAGGGCTTCCAAAGAGCCGCCTGCCTCCTGGAACTGGGCTGCAACTCCTGGGGCATTACGCAGTTCAGCGTAGGCGCCGGTACATCCGTGGTCGAAAGCCGGCCGGGTTCGGCATACTCCCGCTTAGGTCCAGTTTGATTCCGTTGAATCCCGCGTGGTATGTCTCCAGAGCATAATCCGGCCTGATTCGGTCCAGTGGCGGCCTTTCAATCGGGCTTCATAGCTCTTACTCGTTCTTACGCAGACCTCCCAGGAGTTGCCTCTTACGGAGAAGCCCCCTGCGCCTGCTTAGAAGGTCCCCCCCCCCCTCGCGCACCCCCCCCCGTGTGCGTGGCACCAAGTGCGCGACGCATACGGGTTCGACTGTGCGGACATCCGCGCGTAAGTTTCCCGCCTACGGTCGCGCGCGAGTGCCTTCTATTCCACGCGGTGTACCGCGCTGGCGGCCCGAATGAGCCGCGGCGTAAGGTCGCTACGATGGGGGCCTTGGCTGAGGAATGTGCCCATGAGGCTTCGGGCCTTGAGGGACTCCTTCTCTGAGGAGAGGCTGCAGCGATATCTATCTATAGGCAATCCACGACTGGAGTTGCACGGGCCTCCAGACCCTGGATTCCTTTGCCACGGCTCCTGATCCAACGCCCTGCGCAAGACTTATGGTGTTCCAACCTACTTTAGTTTTGATCACCAGGAAGAATTTCGAGCGCACCCCAAAACTCGAGGGTTTCACGTGCCGGGCCCTAGGAGACACCGTTTCGACACTCTTTCGGCACTCTTTCGACACTTTTCTGTGAGCTCGAACTTACTTTTGGGATGTGCTCCTTGAGTACGGTGGGAGCAACGTAGCGCCAGACCCCTTTCCCTCTGCCGCTCGAGTGCCGGCGCCGTCCACACACATGCACACTACATGTGGTGCGTCGCCCTTCGTCGCCCCCCACAAGGGGCGCCGCGCGCGCTCGGGGCAGCTCGTCGCAGATGCTCTGGTGGCGGGCGCGTTTTGGCCATGCCGCTGGGGTAACGATACGCTGTATGATCGATGTTCGGGGGCGGCAAAGAGGGGGGTGATGACTGGGGGGGGGGTGATATCATGGTGGGGGCCATGATATTTCCCAGATTTCATGGCGCCTCTTCTCATTTCATTACGTCTCTGGCCCCCCCGCTGGTCCGCGCACATGCCGCCGGCCATGATTAGCACCCCCCCCTCTTGGACACCTCCCTCTTGGCCGCTCCCAAGATGTGATGTATGATCTGGTCGGACGCACGCCTCCAAGGAGGAAATATAGTATTCGTACGTCCTTCTGCGTCCTAAGCTAGGCTCGTGCGGCGTTGGCGCGCCGGCGACGTCAGCGAAAGCGTTCAAGGTTGAAGTCTGTGACGAGGAAGCATCGAGGGACGCGGTAACGCAACTGGACGCGACGGAGTTCAACCTCGAACGATCGTTGCCGCGCTCGATTCAAGGTTGGACGATCGACGCGGTGTCAAAAATCATTGTGGGCGCCGACGCCGTATGAACCTCCAGCCAACCGGCAGAGTCAGGATGAGCGATTTGCCAAGGTTACCCCTGCATCCTTCCCCTTCGGCCCGTCCTCGGCTACCTTCGCTGGCCGCGCTCCGTTCGCAAAGTGTCGGCGTTGCCCTCCAAGGCCCGTGCATCTTTACAGTCGAGCATCTGATGACGACGCCTCCTCCCGAGAAGCTGGGCCAGCGATTCTGTACCAACTCGCCGGAACACCGGCCCAGCTGCTTGAGCGCGGTCGCCCCTCCCCCGTTAGCAACAGAGGTTGCCCCAGGCTTGTCTCAAGAAACGCCAGGGAAGCTGGCCCACAGGTTCCTTGATCGAATGTTTGGCTGTACCGTGCGTTTTTTTTTTTTTTTTTTTTACGGCTTGACTGTGCAGTCGACCCGCGTGGTAAGGATGGGCAACCTTCCCAAGGACAACCACCCCTTTGCGTCCCTGGCCTTGGCATCGCTCGGACGTGTGCAGTATTCTTTCGGCAAGGACCATCGGGGAGCATCCTTGACCATTTGGCGAAACAACCACGCACGAAACCGAAACAAAAACACAGGGAATAGACGTCCGAGCGATGGCCAGTCGCTGGCCGCGCCCCGCTCGAGAAGCCTCAGCGTGGGCCTCCGAGGCCCTTGCCTCCTCACCGCGCCTCCCTGTGATGCAACGGGCCGACGGTACACGTGCGCCCCTCCAGTGGCTGCATCGTGCGTCCTTCTTGCCTGCATTCTTGGCTGCACCGTGCGTCCCTCTTGTGCTTCTGCCCCCAAGCTGTGCGCGGCCCGCTCAGCTTCTATCGGAAGAGGCTCGCTCTCGACCCGCAGATCAAAATATGCGTCCTTCTTGTACGCGCCGACGGTGCCGCAGCGTGGTGTGCCCAGCCCGAGGCCGCGCGTCTTCGGCGCCCTCCCGGCGGTGCCCGCGCCCGCGGCGGCGCCGCCCGGAGCCGCCGGCGGCCCTGGCGCTGCCCGCGGCCGCCTCGAGCTGCCCGCGGTCGGCTTCGGCACCTCCTTCTACCCGGAGGACCCTCCGAGGAGGGAGGGCTGGGCGCGAATTCATGGGAGGGCGAACCATCGGGGGGGGGAGAACGGTGCGCTTTCTTCTCAGGAGGGGGCAAAACACACAGACACAACTGATCGTCGATCCCCAGGAAGATCTGGGAAATGTGGGAGGTGGGGGGGGGAGACGAGACTCAAACAAACACGTGAAAACATGGGGAATCCTGGGATTTGTGTGCATTTCTTTGTGCGTCCCTGGGCCCCGTTCTCTTCGTGCCCCGAATCGTAAAAGAAAATAACCGCTGTAAACATGTACTTTGGGCGCCCCGTGCGCGGCTTTCTTGGATCTGCGCCGGCCCCTCCCGGCGGAGCCTGCGGCGCCCCCTCCCTGGCGCGCTCCGCGCGCCAGGGAGGGGGGTCTGGCGCAGATCTAAGAAATCCGCGCGCAGCGCGGATTTCTTAGATCTAAGATGAGTAGAAGCACCACAGCGCGCAGATTTCTTAGAAGATTTAAGATTTAAGATCCGCGCCACATCTGCGCGCAGATTTCTTAGAAGAAGTTGCGCGCTGGATCTTAGTAGAAGAAGGTAACACCACATGCACATGAGCGCAGATGTGCGTGTGGTGTTACCTTCTTCTACTACAAGGCCCCCTCTGAGGCCCTGAAGGGCTCCTCTAGGGGCCCCAAAGAGCCCCTTCTCTGCAGCCCTCGCTGCCCCCCCATTCATCGCCCCCCTATGAATTCGCGCTGGAGAGGGGTGCCGGCATCGGCTGCGCGTGAGATCAGAGGATGAAAAGGTACCTGTACCGCTACCCCGTCCGTCGTTTTCCCCTTTTTGGGCCTCCTGGGATGCCCTCGTGGCCTCCGCTGGATTTGCCTAGAAATTCTGGTCAGAACGCGCCCTGGGAGAGTTCCGGGGAGTAGTGGTATCGGTACCTGTTTGACTTCCCCATGTGAGTGACCTTTCGCTGGAGTGACCACGCTCCCACTCTCTCTCTCCCTCTCTCTCCCTCTCTCTCTCCCTCAGGCCACGGTTCACCTTATGAGTTTGCCTATCACAGGTCGGCTCCTGGGTTGCACCCGGTTTGCTTGGCGACGCTGCGACGAGTGACTCGCAGGGCAGTCGAGGCTGCGCAGTGCGGAGTTCATTCGTTAGGCAAGAATGTGTCGCCGGATTGACCTTTGGTGCGGGCCCACAGGGGTCCCCCCAGCACCGGCTGGCGCGCTCGGCGCTCGGAGTGCTGGGATTTGGCCTTCCCCGTGGGCCCCCTGAGACTACGCACCAAAGGCCACCCTTGCCCAGGCTCCCTCCTGCATGCAGCCGACGGTAATGGTGGGGGCGTCCGTTGAGGAATGTGCCCAGGAGGCTTCAGACCCTGGAGAATCCCGCATCTGATTCGGGCAGCGGTGATGTTGCAGGCCAAGAATATACACCACCACCACGTCGATTCCTCCTCCCTCCTCTACCCTCATATTCCTTTCCTCTTCCCTGGGAGAGGCAGGTGAGGGAGGTGGTGGTGGTGTGGCCCTGCATATATACATGGCCCATCCACGGTCGAAGTTCCACTGGCCTCCGCGCCCTGGATTCTTTGTCCAAGAGTTCCTTATCCACTGCTCTCACCGTGCCATTCCTTGGTCTTCGCCTCACTGGGCCTCCAGCCAGGCCCTCGCCGGCACGGCTCGACTCGCCTCGAAGTCATGCTCAGAACGCACCCTGGGAGAGGTCCCAGGAGTCGAGGCATCGGTGTCCGTTGGCTTCCCCGGACCACAGCTGAGCCTTCGGAGATCCGCGCGGATGTCTCGGGTACCGGCGCTGGGGCCCTCTCCCTGTGGCGGCGCCTCCGGCGCCGCCCCTGGCGCGCGCTCCACCGGGATGGGGGGCCCCCAGCGCCGACATCCGAGAACTCCGCGCGGAGCTGTGAGATTGTGTTGGTGCAGTTGTTCCTTCCGTTGCAGGGCCCGCTCTCACAGGGCGGGGGGCGCACTTGGATCCGTTCCTCTGGGGGTGTTCGGGCGTCCTCGTGGGTTCCTAGGGCCTTTCTCGTCTCGGGATGCATTCCAGCAGCTGCGCCTCGCCCAGGGCGTTGGCCGCCGGACACCTGCCGAGAACGGAATTGCACCCCTGCAGGATCCATTTCGACCCGATCGATCCGACGAGAGATCGATTCTGGCCGGCCCGGTCCAATTTGGTTTCGACGTTCCAACGATCCGGTGCGGCCCGATGCTTACGTGGCGCCGTCGTGCATCCTGCGTTGCCGATCCGCTTCGATTCCGACTCCGTGCCGATGCACGCATGTTCCGAGTCGGCCCGATTTCTGGATTCGATGCCGATTGGTCCTGCCTCGAGGAGCGCCCTGGGATCCTGGAGTCGCATCCGTTTTCGCACCGGGCGTCTTCCGCCTGGTTTCGGACCCCAAGGCCCTCGCAGGTCGGACCAGGTCGAGGCGTGCCACAGAGGGATGGGGGGTCTGGGGATCATGTGATTTTTCGCGATGTCGCATTCTTCCGCAACGTCGGATCCCCAGACATCTTGCGTCTCGATGTTTGTTCGAGAGAGGCCGCCGAACTCTCGACCACTTCCGGGGTCCGGTTTTCATCCCGAGTAGTTTATGCCAACCATCCTGTGGTGTTGCCCGTCTTCCATGCATGCCTCTGCCCTCCGCATGTCAATCATTTCGGCAGACCCCTCACACGCTTCGTGGCTCCATATGGAGCTCCTCCGAAGGCCCAAGTTGCAGCGCCCGCATGCAGTTCCACACCCATTTCGGCACATCCCTCACTCGTTTCGTGGCCCCATGGTTCGGGAGCTCCACCTAAGGCCCCAGTGGCAGCGCCCGCATGCGGTTCCACCAGCCATTCCGGCGCACCCCTCACATATTTCGTGGCCCCATAGAGAGCTCCACCGAAGGTCCCAGTGGCAGAGCCCGCATGCAGTGCCACCCAACATTTCGGCACACCCTCACAAGTTCGTGGTCCCATAGGGAGCTTCACCGAAGGCCCCAGTGGCAGCGGCCGCATACAGCTCCACACCCATTTCCGTGCACCTCTCACATGTTTCGTGGCCCCATAGGGAGCTCCACCGAAGGCCCCAGTGGCAGCGCCCGCATGCAGTTCTACATTCCATTCGATTCACCCCTCACACGTTCCGTGCCCCCATCGGGAGTTCCACCTAAGACTCCAGTGGCAGCGCCCGCGTGCGGTTCCGGCCGCCATGTCGGTGCACCGCTCACGCGGTTCGTGGCCCCATCGGGAGCTCCTCCGAAGGTCCCAGTGGCAGCGCCCGCATGCAGTTCCACACCCATGTCGGCACATCCCTCACACGTTTCGTGGCCCCATACGGAGCTCCGCCGAAGACCAAACTGGCAGCGCCCGCTTGCAGTTCCACCCACCCTCACACGCTTCGTGGCCTCATAGAGAGCTCCACCGAAGTCCCCAGTGGCAGCGGCCGCACGCAGTTCCACACTCCATGTTTGAACATCTCTCACACGTTTCGTGGCCTCGTAGGGAGCTCCACAGAAGGGCTCAGTGCCAGCGCCGGCATGCAGTTCCACCCCCATTTCGGTGCATCCCTCACACGCCCCATGGCCCCATAGGGAGCTCCTCCGAAGGCCCCAGTGGCAGCGCCCGCATGCAGTTCCACCCTCGTGGCCCCATAGGGAGCTCTAGCCACGGCTCCAAGGGCAGCGCCCGCATTCAGTTCCACCCCCATTTCGGTGCATCCCTCACATGCCCCATGGCCCCATAGGGAGCTCCAACGAAGGCCCCAGTGGCAGCGCCCGCATGGGATTCCACCTTCAATGTCGGCGACTCCCTCACAGGTTCTGTGGACTGATGGAGCGATGCCATAGGGAACTCCGCCTACTGCTCCAAGGGCAGCGCCCGCATGCGGGCCCGCCCACCATTTCGGCACACCATTTGCGCGCTTCGTGGCCCCATATGGGGGCTTCACCAAAGGCCTCTAGCTGCCCCTGTTGCTGGTCCCCCTCCATTTCATTCCTCGCGATCCTCGAAGGCCCAAGTGGCAGCGCCCGCATGGTAGCCCCGCCAGATTTCGGTACACAATTTACGCACTTCGTGGGCCTATGAGGAGATCCACCGAAGACGATACCCACAACGAAGGTATTCACGACTACAGCTGGTAGATCCCTTCGCCAGGCTAATTTGACGACCCCGAGGCCCGTCAAGGGCCCCGTGAGGTTCAACACAATGAACAATCGCCGTTCCGATTTTTCCGAGGCGCTGGATGTCTGGGTCCCAGGGGAGGACGCGACTGCGGTTCTCAGACGTCAGGCAGACTGACTGTTTCAATCCCGGCGTTTCTCCTCCGTTTCGGATTCCGGCGCCTGTCTGGGGCCCCTGGGGCCATTCAACGTAGAGTTGTGGCGACACGTTGCTCCTTTGGACTCATGCCTCCCTGCTAGGATCCGAGCAGATGGGTTCGGAGGGTCGCGCCGCATCGCCGAGGAGCCCGATTTTCTCCTCGCTGACGTCGCCGAAGCATGGCCGACGTCGCAGATGCATCGCAGATTTATCGGCGAAGCATCGGCGATACGGCGCGACCCTCCGACCCCACCTACCCGGTCCCCGTTTTGGAGGCCGCCAGCAGAAGGGGTCGAGAGTTCTGGGCCCCGCGGAACGAACAATCCAGTCTGCGTTCGAAGACAGGGTCGGGCACTCTCCCGTTCAGCCGCTCCTTGTCCTGATCTTGACCCTGCTCGCGCAAAGGAGAGATTCCTGTGCACCGCTTTCGTCGCGTTCGGGTCGACACCGTCGAAGAGAGCGAACCTTCTGGTGGTTTCGCTGCGGGGAAGAAAGGCTGCGTTCGAAGAGTTTGATTTTACATCTTTCGGCTTCTGGCGGCCCGATCCCTGCCCCGGGGCGCGCCCAGATATCGATCCAGGGCGAGAGAGTGGTCATCGCTGGCGTTCGGGAGGGGCCCCGGGCCGATTCGGATTGTCGTCCAGATCCTCCTCCTTCGGCTGTGCGCAAGGGTGACCCTTCGCCGCAGTGGGGGTCCCCCCAGTACTGGCTGACGCGCTTGCACTGCCTGGATCCGGCTTCCCCCGCGGCCCCCTCAGGCGGCGCACCAGAGGCCACGCTTGCCTAGGGTCGCTCTTGCGTCCAGGTCCTCCTCCTCCCCACCAGTGGGCACGGGGTCCCTTCGGAGCCCGTGCGGCGTCCGAGCCCACTCGGCCGCCGCAGTGGGTTACAGTCCGTCCGCTTGGTGGGAGGCCGGCCCGTTCGGCAGCCGAGCGGGCTCGGCACCGCGCCTGTTTGGCGGCCGAGCGGGCTCGGACGCCGCGGTGCTCTGAGCCAGCAGCGCAGTGGCACAGGAGGAGGAGGAGGAGGAGGAGGAGGAGGAGGAGGAGGAGAAGGAGGACCAGTGTAAACCCAAGACTCATACACGATGTTGCAGTACACCCTCCCTCCAAGCTCCCTCTTCACAGGTCCCTGCACGGGGTCGTTTCGACTGAGAGCATGTACCCCTTTTGGGGGACAGCCGTGGGAAAATGCTGACATGTGCCAAAACACCATTGTCAGGACTTCAACGCCACGAGTCAAGCTGACTGTTGCGTCTCGACGATCCTGAATCGTGCCAGAACACAACTTCCTGGGACTTCACACCGCGAATCAACGTAGCTGCTGCGCTCTGGCAATCCTGAACCGTTTCAAAACACCATTTCTGGTACGGTCGCCATGCGAGTCAATGCACCACCAAAAGCTTACAAACGAGTGTGCTCGGCGCTGAGGCGAGAGCCACATGTTGAAAACAACCCGCACTCAATCCGCGAAGCTCTTGTCGTTCTTATAACGAATCTGCCCAGCGCTGAGGCGAGAGCCACATTTGGAAAACGACCCGCCCCAATTCCGTGAAACTCTTGCATTTGTTACGCCAATGTGCGCGGCGATAAGGCGAGAGCCACAGTTTGCAAACTACCCGCCCTCCATCTGTGAATTGTTGCAATGTTTTACAACGAACGTGCGCGGCACTGAGGCGAGAGCCATGTGCTGAAAAAGACCCGCTTTCATTACGTACAATTCTTGCAACGTTTTGTGACGAATGTGCGCGACGCTACGGCCAGAGTCACAGTTTTAAAACAATCCGTCCTCCATATGTGAAGCTGTTGCTGGTTCTTCAGGCTCATAAATGATAAGGAAGTCTCAGGCGAAACGCCAGGCCCGCCCTACCGGCTGGCCTCGGGGTGCGACAGGGAGGAGCTTATGAGGGAAAAGAGTGGAGGAGGAGGAGGAGGAGGTGGAGGAGGAGGAGGAGGAGAAGGAGGAGGAGGAGACGGAGGATGAGGCAGTGGTGGAGCAGGAAGAGCAGGATGTGTGTTGATGGGAAGGCGGGGCAGGGAGGACGGACGGGATGGGTGGGAGGAGTGGGGAATCCCTCCCCCTTCCCTCCTCCCCCCGCTCCTCCTCGCCGTCGTCGTCTTGGTTCTCCTTCCGCTTCCTCTTCACTTGAAATGCAGACCATTTGGCCATGAAATATGCCACAGCATGGACATTACTTGCCCCCCCCCGCAGCCCCCCCGAATCGAGCGTACAGGGTGGCGCCAGCTTTGCGAGCGTTGCCCGGCTGCGATGCCCAGTCGCGCGCCTCAGCTGCTCCCCCCCGTCCCCTTGGCAAGCGGCCGAGGACCACGAGCTCGGGCCGGAGGAGGCCGTGGTGTCCGCGGCGGTGGACGCGGCGCTGAGGCCGCGCAGGGGTGGATGGGGCAGACGTCAGGGGAACAGGCACCGATACTGCTGCCCGTCCCTCGTCGCCACGGCTGGCTTCGCCGGAACATGCCGATCACATCGCTCCCCGGGAGACGTTTGTGGAGCAGTGGCACTGGTACATTTCTGACACCCTGGGACGGGGTAGGAGTTGGATGCGGGCTGGGTGCTGGGAGGGTGAGAGAGGCAGGAGGGGGCAGACAAGAGAAGGCGAGTTGAGACCACGGCAGTTGTCCTTCGGGGGGCCTCCGCGTCGCCGCGGCGGGACGCAGCTCGGAAAACCGGTGCGTTGGGACCACGAGAGGGGTCCAGGGACCGATTATGAATTGCCTTTGTCTGAACTCGCCGTCCGATGGTCAGGGGCTAGAGATCGAGTAGGGCATCGTCTACAGGATTGTTTCACCCCAAAATTTATTTGTTCGTCGAATCCACGAAATATGTGTATAATGTTTTTGGGTGCGCGAAGATTGTACGTAATTGTTGTGTCTTCGACGCGAGAAGCAAGTACTGGGTACATCAGTGTGGTAGTCTTAGACGCGAAAAGCAAGTTTGGGGTACATCAGTGCAAGAAGAGGTGGACGGGCGCAGGGTTGGGTCCGGGGTGCAGGGCGGGGGGCTGCGTGCTGCGAGGGGAAGAA